GGGGGGGGGCGGGGGGGGGGGGGGGAAGCCTGGCCGGTGGCGTGGCCGCGCGGCGGGTGCGTGCCTGAGCTGGCGGGCGCGTTCACGACGCACAGCCTCGAGACCCGCGAGGGCCCGCCCAATCTCCAAGAGGAGTCGAGTTACTGCCAGAACCGGAATGGTTGGCTCTTACTCTGAAAGTCTACATCACATTTGGATGGAATTTTTGGGGTAGCATCCTGCGGGACCAACCATTAATACCAACTTGGCAGCGGGTGCGTGCCTGAGCTGGCGGGCGCGTTCACGACGCACAGCCTCGAGACCCGCGAGGGCCCGCCCAATCTCCAAGAGGAGTCGAGTTACTGCCAGAACCGGAATGGTTGGCTCTTACTCTGAAAGTCTACATCACATTTGGATGGAATTTTTGGGGTAGCATCCTGCGGGACCAACCATTAATACCAACTTGGCAGTTTTCTTGCCAAATTGAGTAACTTTTCAGAATACACCAGCCCCCCCCCCCCCCAAAAAAATAGCAAACAATTTAGCAGCTTTTATCTTGTCTATCTGGAAACTGTAAGGAACTTTGGAAAATGTTTACACAATCCCGTGTAGAGGAGCACCCACGTGCATTAGCACCAAGTCATCCATCGAAATTCGACTACCATCATGACCAACATTCAAACTCTGTACCATAATGGATTTAAATGTTCACCAAAAGATGCGACAGAGGTTTCCTAAAAATATATATTTTATATGGTTTTTTTATGAATATTAGTTATATACGTTAGAAATGCAAGCCACTGTAACATTATAGACTGTATAAATGTTAACACTGCGTCTACATTTTAGGAAAAGGGGAATTATTTTTCATGTCCCTCTGAATTTTGTTTATCACCATGACATATACGGATTTCAAAGAGCTTTTATTCTGAAATGCTACATTCAACTTCCTAGGTCCATCCAAGCATAAGTCAAGCCTAGTGTTTCCCAACTCCATTAGTGTGCTGCAAGAAATGACTTAAAAACAGTTTGAAATTCATTTACTACAAATTATGTATCTTTGTTCATCTTTTCATTTCAGCGCCATATAGTGACAGGCAGAACAATTAAATGCGCTTCCACTAGATAGTAAAATTAATCTTTGTATTGTCCCTCTGTTTCTATTCAAACCAGGGAGACCCATACGAGATTTGTCATCAAATTAGGAGAGTAACAGTACTCAGTACTTTTGGTAACATTTTGCTCATGTACTGTAAGATACAGTACATGCCTTGTCCCAATAAAGGTCGGGAAACCTGTTATAGGTGAGGGATACAAATAATGCACTCTAACGTTGTTCATTGTAAAAGCTTCCTGTTACACTGGTATGACATGCTACACTTCAAACGTCACTGTCGGTTTTAAATATCGAAGGCTTTCTGACAGGGACGGTTTCATTTCCAAGACGACACTTTTGAGCTTCAATGAGGACAAAAATTATCAGTTCTTCCAGCTGATACTAACAAGTGTTTTTTATTAGTAAGACAGAGCCAATAAAGAAGTGGCTTCAGAACCTGGACATATTGTTCAGAAGGCATTTTGAAAGGCTCTCAACTCCATACAGTAAAGGGAGGGCTGGCAATCAAACAAGAAAAATAGAAAGGGGCGGGGGCACAAATCAAGTGCAATTGCAATTCCATGAACAGAGTGAAATGTTACTTCATGGTGACAGATATGGAAAAGACGGCACAGCAGTCCATAGAATGGGTACAAGCCATATGTTTTAATCTTGTGATTTTCAGTCTTATTTAAAAACCCACAAAATAAACAAAAATATCCAAGGATGGGAGGTGGCTTGCAAGCAAAAAGATTGTTTGTATCCTTTTGAAAAACCAGGGCCAAAAGCATATTTGATCAGAAAATCATGAAAATATGACATAATATTGTTGACTTTGGGAATCCTCTTCATTGCATCATCATCAAGGGAAAAAAAAAAAGTTTTGAAAGGCGTCAGAGATGATCCATTTCATTGTTTTGTTGTGGTTAGGGCGAGGACTCAAATATCGAACTAAAATTGCGGTGGGGCTAAAAATCTGGCACCCAAATTGTTCATCCCAACCCTCCCCTTCGATGAGGGGGTGGCGGCAGGTCGTCTTTTGACCAAATATCTCCATTTGACCCATCACCAGAGCCGATGCTGGTGGAGGTTTCGACTGAGGACGGAGCGGACATCTGCGGTGAACCTAAAACAGACACTAACTTGTTGGTATGATGATAACCCAAGGGCAGGATTTTTTTTTTTTTTAAATATTGTCAGAAATATAATCATTTAAAACACACACACACAAACGCTTACCTTAATGCGTCCAGCATAGGCAGCAAGTTAAGAAGTGCTGTGTCACTGGGATCACTGAACCAGGACTTGATGGGTATTGCATTGTCTGGAGAGCAAAGGGTTTGGCTTACTTTTACACTCACATTTGACACTGGGAGACCCGGACGGGTTCATTACCTGGATGGCTTCGATAAGCACCGGGCGAATTGTCGAGGATGACAATACTGGACAGGTCGTCGTGTACTACTGACAGGTCTTTGATATAACTACCTAGATCCAATGTACAATGCTGCCAGTGGAGACACAAAGATAAGATCACTTCAAGCTATTTCGGTGGGAGCTCAGGACATTCAAATATGTACCAAGACAAAACAAGACAGCTGCATCTAAAACAGAAATAAAACCAACGGAAAAAAAAAACACCCTAATTCGTTGCAAACAGAAGAAGTTGATCCCAGTCAATAGATTCAGATGAATTATAAATATCTAGTCAATATTTACATTTTTAATTCCCTCTAAATCTTTTTTTTTTGGCACATTCAAGGAGAGTTTGTCACGTCAAAAAAATTGTCAATGTGTCAATTTGACGAAGTTCTTTGTCAGTTCCAATTGGCTTTCATGGGCCAAAAGAGGCTCGTGTCATCCACCAACAGGACTTTGTGGAGCACTTCGGAAGAGTTAACAAAGTCACTGGGCTACAAAATAAAGAGAAGTGGTCCCATTATGTACCCCTGTGGAACCCCATCGTGAATATCTTTCACACACACATACAGAGAGAGAGAGAGAGAGAGAGAGAGAGAGAGAGAGAGAAGCTGCTGAAGCAGGTGTCAATGGTGTCCCTGTAATGCCATCGTGCTGCAGCTTCCTAATAAAAATGTGAATATTGCATGTATCAAAACTCCAACTCCGAAATTACTGCCATCATTTGTGTCAGAATACAACAAAAATGAAATATCGATCGGAAAAATTACATGATAAAAGTAATCATTTTTGGAGAATGCTGTACAGTCATAATATTGGCAGGAAAAAAGTTGCACTCTTAAATCAACCTTTGAAACCTTATTTCTCGTGTTGATATGATCTTTACGAACTCAACCTTCTGTTCAAGAAAGACTGCTTGATTGGCTTTTGAAGCACTTTGTGTGCTACCTGTCTGTAGTATCTGCGTCGGAGGATGTTCCTATTGTTGTCCAACTTGTCGGCCACTGCCGAGCCGTAGATCTCCATGCTGGCTGTGAACACCACCAGCTCGTACCATTGGCTCACCTGCGAGCACGAGATGTGTAACAATACGTCCACGGTGACACACACACACACCACACACACAACACATACCACTTCTAAAAAGAAGTCCACATGCGGCCTTTTATGGACGAAGAATCGCACCGGGTGCTTGTCAATGACAACCTGCGCAGAAAGACAAACCAAAGTCAGTCATGCCAAGGCAAAAACATGCCAGTCGTAATAAGACGCACTTACTTTGAGGATGAAGTCGGGCGGCGTCCCCGGCCTCACCGTGGGCCTCAGGACCCCGTCATGATGAGAGTGAATTAGGGTCTCGTCTAGGTCCAGCACCAGAATCTTCCGCTTGACTCCATCTGCAGGGGAAGGCAACGAGTGGCCGGCGTTACGCTCACACACGCATGCTAGCTGGCCTGTTAGCCGAGCGTATACTCACTCAGTCTGTTTCGGGAGAGTGGCGACAGAGGCAAGGTGTCGTATCGCACAGTCTGGTACTGGATGATCTGCAAAGCAAACACTAAATGGTCACAGTCGTCGGAAAAATATAGAACGGTCAGAGAAAAGACACATGTAGAGAATGAAACAATCAGGGAAGCAAGCTACTTTATAAACTAATTTCAATTCACTGGTCCCCACAATTATTTACGACCAAGTATTGCTGCTCATCGATCTATGCCGGTGATGTATCGTGAAAACAGAAGGAGTCAATGCTCTTCTCCCACTGTGAAGACGCATGTTGTAATTCATATAACGGAATTAGTCCCGTTTCCTGCACAACATCAGTTTGTGAGTGAGTTGAGATGAGATCATGATTTGTAGTTTTGGTGACCTTTTTGTTTGGTGGTGTACTATAAGATGTAAAAGATGTGCCTTGGCTCGATAAAGGTTGGGACACACTGAATTCAGTCATAACGCTTTGAGAAAGAAGTCCAATTATTACGATATAGCTAAAGGCAAATCATGCAATACTGTATTGTGAGTAATCAGCTAGAGTCGTCATCTTAGAGTCACAGTTCCCTGGTGACTCTAAAGTTGAGTAAGTGAATTAGCCAGTCCATGGACGAGAAACAAGGAAATGTCCATTTGTTGAGGTGGTCATTTTAATCGGGTCATCTCAGGTCTCTTCCAAAGAGACTCAACAATTTGGCTTCCAACATACTACAGACAAGCAACACAGTCACATTGGGTGCCTCCTCGACCATTGGTTGAATTAGGTGGAATATGAACAAGTAGGAATCCCACTCAAACGACTGTTAGTGAGGGGCGAACTCTATTTAATTCATCTTCACAAGTGTCGTTTTGCATTGCAAAACAGTGACGCCGTTGGTGGTCAGGACAACCTATCATGCATGAACTGCTGAAGGGGCCAAACATTTTGGAGAACAACCCGAAGAGTCCAGTTGGGAATTATTGACAGGCACGTCTCTGTCGTTCAGGTGTGCCTCACCAGCGCGCACGACTTACCGTTCGAAGGTGCTTCCTGAGAATATACATGAAGAAGCCCCATATTCTGGACGTGACCCCGAGGAAAGTCCGGATGCCGAGTAAACACTGGCGGGTCTTCAGCATGTTGACGGGCCAAGACAAGTCAGCAGTCGGCGGAAGAACTGCGGCTGACAGTCGGCATTAGCTGCCAATCGAGCGATTTCCTGGCAGAGGCGCGAGTATCTCGATCTGCACGCTTGTTGCACGATGACCATTAAATGGAGCAGATTGGCATAGCAGACGACCGCAATTGCGCTCAGAAGGGCTGCTGCTGTTTTGGACCTCGTTGAGCTAAGCGGCGTTAGCTCCCGCTAGCTCACTCGACGGGGTGACCACCTTGAACCCGGCTCCAAAATAAGGCAATCAGCCACCGGGCGCCTCGTATTCAGACGCTTTCTCGGTTCCGCTTCGCTGTGCGCGGCGTCCGAAGTTGTTCTAAAAAGTAAAAATTCCCCCAGAGTGCAACTTGTGGGTCTAAAATCAGTTTGTAGTCCACTGGAAATCCGGAATGAAACTGCGAGCCGCCATTGGCGACGTGACATCACTTCCGGAAGGGAATCTAAGGGTCGCGCGCAGCACGTCCACGTGGAAGGAAAATAAACAGACGTGGACAGGGATGCGCTCACTTCATTCATTCGTTTCCCAATCTTTACTCAGCCAAGTTATTTCATCTTGGGAAAATCTCACAACACAAACAAAGGGACGGAAACTATATACAATAGTGAAAGAGATACTTGATTGAAGAGAGTACCAGGTTACTCGTAGTAGTACATCAATTCAAGTCAAGTACAAATTTATAGTCAAATGTGCTGTATGTAACATACAGCACAGATGAAATTTCCTCTCTCTTAAACAGACAACAAGAGGAGCCGCTGCGGGTGCCCGCGCCGCCATCAAAAGAACACTTAACATAAAATGACAAAATACTATGACACAACACATAAAACTGAGAGTCGTGCCACCTTAACCACTTTTCCTCCATTCACTTTGTTGTTTGAAGCAGTAATAGATGAAAGAGGAGTGAATCAAAGTGTCCTTTTCACTAGTGGATCAAAGACCAATGTGCACACGTCTGCTACAAGCTAAGCTTGAAAGCAACAAGAAGCTGTAGCATCCATTAACGAAAAAGAGATTGGCTCTCTTCTCCTGTCCCATGTAAATCCGCTTCAATTCCAAGCCGCGACTCCCAGGTCCACATAAGCAGAGCTCGGCGCTCTGCCTTTCTTCTCGTCGTCGGCTCCTCAAGCCATGCATCCATCCGGCCGCAGACCGTCCAACAGCACCGACCTCTCCGCTAAACAAAGCCTATTTCAGGCGCAAGACACAAGCACCCCGGTGCTGTCCAGCAACGACAGTCAAATGGCGCCGACTTTCCTCCCAATTAAAATCAGTGCTGGTACACGCATGCCGCCGAGAAGGCGCAACCACCAAGCACAGATTCTTCTTCTTTGACGAATGTCGTGGCCAAAAATGCTGAAAACAGTCCACATCAGGTCCACATGATGTAACAACATCACTATGTGACAAACAAAAGGCCTAAAGTACATTTTATATCTATTTTCACCCCGCCATGCACTGAATATATAATCTTTCCTACATCAAATTCAAGACACAGAATGTAGACCACCACAGGCAGTTTTTTATTTTGTTTTTTTGTTAATCCATTGTTACATTTAATATTCAACAACTGATTTAAAAGTCATTCAAAACACAAAGTTTATGTTCGTAAAGGAAACAAGATGATCACACGTCAAGATCATCGTCTGGATCCTCTTGATCGTAGTCATCGTTAGCGTCGGGCTCGTACACGATTCTCCCTGAACCAGTGTGGAGAAGAGCTGCTTTCCTACCAGACGAAAACAACAGCCAAAGAGTTAACGTCAAAAAAATGGAAATATGACAAAGAAAAACTCCAACGTGTCTCTTACTTCTCTTTACTGAAGACAAAGGGCAGTGCTAGCTTCTCCTTGGCCTCGCGTTGGCTTTCAGACAAGCGAAGGTTGAAGGTCAAATTTGCTGTTGGGTCTGCCTGCAAGAAGAACCCACACGGGATTTTTCTTTCGTACTTCGAATTCATTTTAATTCATTTTAGCATGTTACACATTATAGCTAATTGTGTGTTAGGAAAAAAGCAGTATGATGAGAAAAGTAAAATGTTGTTTGAGGAATAACTATTTGTAGTTTGAGCCTAAAAATACCTATACAACACGCTATAACACTTTCAAAAAGTGTTTCAACATTTTTTTATGTTTCTCAGAAAAATCTGCCATTACTATAATGGGAGGTAGGGTGCCATGTCGTGAAACTTTTTTGTTTTGTATTTACAGACAAAAAGTGTTAATATGAGATAAATATTAACAAGTACCATGTTGGATATGCACATCTGTTCTTGTGGCTCACTCCTGCTGGGCTTGCCCTGTCCAATCACCGTCAGGTCATCTTTGATGGTGAACACCTCCTCCTATGCATCAACAAATACTTCATGTTCTTTTGTTGCCCCACCTCAAAGTCTTCATCACGTATTTAATACTTACACCTTGCAAAACCTTTCCTGACTTTAAGCGCTTGGTTATCATTGCTTGGTCTCCTCTCAGGACCGCCTTCACGGTGATGAGTGACGTGGCCAAGTGGCACAGGCTACCGACTGTACCCCGCGAGTGCATGTCGGAATGGAGGAGTCCAATGACGTTTGCCACACATCCACCTAATGTACAAAAGACATGACTAAAGTCACACACAAGTTCAAAGTGAGATGTCAGCGCAGCTTGCAAACACGTTTTCTGATTTGTTCCGGGAACAAACCAATGATAGATCACCATTTTTAAGCTGTTGGAGAGTCTTGCAGACTGCAGACGGACTGATATGTCTCAGGATCCACGAGAGTGAGTCGATGGCTAAAATGGCCGTCTTAACTTGCGAGGTCTGCTTGATGAGTTTCGTGACTTTCTCCACGCAAAACTGGTCCACCGTGAAGGTGGCACTCCCGGTCCAGGCCAGGGGATCGCTGTAAGCGTTGTGAAAGTGGAGCCTGAAATGACAGACGCAAAAATCAACTTTACAATCCTGGCAACACTTGGCCTCTGGATGAAATGATGATTCCAACTGAACTTGAGGGCTGTTTGAATAACTACCTTTCAATGGGAGATCCTTTCAAGCCATCCTTCAGCTCATCCTCGCTGACTTCAAAGCTGAGAACATGGACTGCTTCCGTCCTAAAATTCACACCATGAATTTATGTCTCAACAGTCAACAAGATGCCGACGGCAGCAAGGTGACAACCTGTTCAATGCAGCCTTGATGAAGCTCCACAGAAGACGTCGGCCCGAACAACTACCGGAATCTTTGATTCAGTACAGGTTTCGTTAGCCTTTCTGTAATGTTACTGTAAAGCATGTTGAGTATCATGTACCTTGTATGATGAACAAGCCTCCGGTGTCAGTTCCTTGCAGCAAGTCATGCAACATGGTGCTACAGATGCTAAAGCTAATTAGCATACGCCAACGAAAGTGGTATTGTTGACACGAAATCGCTTAAAGTGACAACATGGCTGACGCCACATTCTCAATGTTAGGCCATTCGGTATATCAACACATAAATCTATATACATCGATCGCCTTGTTTGGTCCAAACTATTTTGTGGCGTCGCCTGGAGAAATCGCATCGGCGGTGGTGGCTTTATGTCCCGGTGCCCCAGTGGAAATGTAGTTCCATTACGCCGAATTCGCTGCTGTTCGTCAGCTACTCGAACTTCAATACCCATAGTCCTCTGGGGTGAACCATTCCTCCGACGGACTCTACAAGCTTCTGCCGCGCGTAGACCTGTGGGGAATCCTCCTTGTTGTGTTACGCGACCGCGAGAGCAAGGATATAGACATTTATATTTATATATATCGGGAAGTGCCCAGCGCGAATCCACTGCCATTGGCTTGAATTTAACGATGTTTTACAGCCGAGCTGTATGGTGGAGGCACGGATTTTAAATGCGGCGGAATGGTACGAGCTACAGAAAAAGTGCTTTTTCTCGCTCGTGTCGATAGCGTGGCGACACCTGGACTCGACAATACACGGTGAGGAGTGTTCCTCAACTCGTGTAATTGTTGAAGAAACGTCTTTTTTTTCTTGCCTCGGTGTCCCAGCAGTTTCCCAACAGTTTGGGCGCAGTCACGCCGGGAGGAGGTACAGCGCGACGGCCGCCTCGCTCCGGCTGGTTCCGTTTCTCGGACCTTAAGGCCTGCTCGTCGAAGGGACAATGCTTGACATAATGTCCGAGCACCAAGGTATGTTTTGTGGCATTGATGAGGGCTTCATAAAGTAAGCCGCTTTGCTTTGCGTTGGCTTTAGCACGTTCGCCGAGGGCAAATGGAGCTTTTGAAAGCCCGGTGGCTAACGTCGCTGTTACGTTCGCCTGCGTAGGTCACAATTCTCAATTTTCGCGACAACTAGCGAAAAGTTGTTGACAAAGAATGCATTTTAGTTCCCTCTTGTTGGAGATTGGTCGTATCATTAGGGATGGTGGCGGGGTGACTTTTGTGTATTAACGCGGCGTTCAGTCTGTCGAGATAACCTCGCCGAACTAGCCGACAGTGCCCGACGCGCATATCGGATTAAAGTTGTGCCACTTTGGTGTCAGTGGAGTTGACACTGTTTCCCCCCCGCAAATGAAACAATTCTACCCTCATTAATGACTCCAAAATTGAATTGACAAGCGACATTGAGACACCTTCCACTCCCCTCTCGCAAATTCCGGCGTGATTAGCATGTTAGCCGCTAACGGCTAAGTCAACGTTCCCTTCCTTGACGTCTTGCCACCGGCGGTTTTTATAGCGATCGTCGCGTCGCCATCGAATAACCGCCGAATGCGAACGCTATATCGGTGCACTCGCAGTGACAGTTCTGTCGGCTAATATTAGCCGCTTAGCTCCAAGACAATTCAAACATGCTCCAAGTTGCCCGGTCAACCAACCAGCTTCAATTCTTGCATTAAACTCTCACTTGAAATGTCTTCAAGTGTGGTTAGCCACCGCCTGCTTTAATCTACGCATACGTTCGTCCCTATCGTTTTAGGTTTCTTGCTCAGCCAATTGTTTTAGACCCAGCCTTTTGTGTTTGGGTCGCTCGGCACGTATCACCGAATAATCCCCCGTTAAATATATAGAGCCGTTTAGCGGCTAATGTTAGCGTTAAATTAGCTTGGCTCACGTCCTAAACGTGCGGCCCTGGCGAGGGAATGCATTTCGACAAATGAATGGAAACCTAGTAAATGGGCTACAGTGCTCATCGTTGACGATAACAAACAGTGAAAGTTGTCAACTGGCTAACTTGATGTAATGACTTGACAAGTGGCCGTCATCCTTGTGGAATTTTCGAAATAATATGGAAGTCTGCACGACCTCCAAAGTCCTCCACAACAAATACATTTTTTTTGGGGGGGGGGGGACAATTGCTGACTGAAGTGCTAGATATATTCTGCTACCAGCACTACTCTTCTCACCAGTAATGTTCCTTGTGTGCTATTTATGTACAGTTTGAAGGCTGAGCACCACAGTTTGAAACCTCACAGTCATTTGAGACGGTGACCAGGAGAACTCATTGGGATTTTGCCCTGTGCCATCTTATTGATGGATATTTTTGAATTGAAACTTACCAGCCACTTGAAGAAATGGTTCCCCGAGTAGCAGATGAAATGAAAAGAGGCTAGACATAATCCAGTTCCAGATTTTCTATAGGCAATGTCACAAGTAGTTAGGCAAACCACCCCCCTCCCAAAGCAAAAGAACCTAACTCCCAATTTCCCCAATTATGCGATGTTCAAAATGCTGAAAGTGGTCCTTCCAACCAGACATGGCATTGCGTCGGATTGTTATTTTTCTGAAATATGATCGGGTTATCACTTCGTCTTTCTCTGCCTACAGATTCGCTTTTGACGTGCAAAACTGAACCTTTGGTAAGTGCCCCGACGAGACTCTACACATTTCTTAAATAAACAACTGTTGACTGAAGGATTTAATTTGTGTAGCCCCCAGAGAGGAAAAGGAGGACTGTGGAGGACTTCAACAAGTTCTGCAGTTTTGTCCTGGCTTATGCTGGTTACATCCCAAGTCCCAAAGAGGTCAGCTTCAAAATTCACATACTTTTAATATACAAGAATAGTCGCAGCTGAGTTTTCTATGGCACCTTTCAATGACGATGATGGCCGGCGGGCTTGACAGGCAACTGCAGCATGACGGAAGATTGCAGTCCAAATGAGACAGGGAGGTGAAGAAGCTTCTTGAGAAAACGAGCTGCAAAATGTTGAAAGCTAACTTCTGCTCTTGCTCTTCGCTATTCGTTGCCATCCAAGTGTCAGGAGTGTTTCCCAACCTTGAATGAGAAAGGGCCCATTTTGCATTTGAAAAGTTTGGATACATAGCATTGTACTTTATGCTAGGTCATGAAATTGTTGCACCTGTCACAATAAGTTACTGGATTTGATAATGAAGAAAAGTACAGTATTTGGGTTAAATGGATAACAATATTCAGGACTGAAAATTAAGTGGCATTAAAAAAAACCCGTAAGCTGGGGCACTTGTAAATTAAGACATCCCTGCAAATGCAGCTTCAGTTGATTTTTTTTTTTCTCTCATGATGAGAAAACTCTGCTATAACCAAGCTAATAACAAAACATGGAAGTCTCTCGTTGAGCAACAATAATGCCTCTTTCCTGGATCGCAGGAAAGCTCGTGGTCCCCGACGTCATCCAGCTCCGCCCACAGTTCGTCGGCGGATGGCGGCGGCGTGAGCAGCACATGGGCGGACGGCGGCCCCGACATCCACACCATCCACACGTTTGTCCACAAAGCCCGCGCCAACAAGAGCAAAAGCGTCCACCCCGATAGCACTTTGCTGGACAAGATGCGCCTGAAGGACTCGCTGTACGAGAGCCAGGTGCCCAGCGCCAAGGCCGAGCGCAAAAAGGACAAAAAGCTCAAGAGGCTGTCGCTGGCGGCGGCTGAAAGCGGCAGTAGCGAGGGCGAGAAACGGGCGCGCATCAAGCGCAGCAAAAACTCCAAGCAGCCCAAAGCCAAGAAGCTCAAAAGCTCGCCGCCGCCGACGCACAGCGACTCGGAGGATCCCATGGCTCCAATAATCCTGAATATGCTTCATATAAAAATCTACCCTATTGGTAATTTTTTGCCAGGATGCCTTAATCTATCGTGTTTTAACAGAAAATTGTTGGACAACTTATCTTATAAGGGCAATTAAAGCGCAATAAATGTAGGGCAGGTGCAAACCCCGAAGCATATTTAAGGAGTTTTTTGTAACTTTTTTTTATTTAATAAAAAAGTGAAACCATTTTTCTTTGTAAAAAATTTGCATTTATTAATTGAAAAAGGTTGAATAAAATTCTCGAATTATGTTCTACTTAACACATACTCTGCACCTTTGGTGCTTTGGCTACCACATTTTTCTCTTTATGTCGCAGCTGAGTTTTCTATGGCACCTTTCAATGACGATGATGGCCGGCGGGCTTGACAGGCAACTGCAGCATGACGGAAGATTGCAGTCCAAATGAGACAGGGAGGTGAAGAAGCTTCTTGAGAAAACGAGCTGCAAAATGTTGAAAGCTAACTTCTGCTCTTGCTCTTCGCTATTCGTTGCCATCCAAGTGTCAGGAGTGTTTCCCAACCTTGAATGAGAAAGGGCCCATTTTGCATTTGAAAAGTTTGGATACATAGCATTGTACTTTATGCTAGGTCATGAAATTGTTGCACCTGTCACAATAAGTTACTGGATTTGATAATGAAGAAAAGTACAGTATTTGGGTTAAATGGATAACAATATTCAGGACTGAAAATTAAGTGGCATTAAAAAAAACCCGTAAGCTGGGGCACTTGTAAATTAAGACATCCCTGCAAATGCAGCTTCAGTTGATTTTTTTTTTTCTCTCATGATGAGAAAACTCTGCTATAACCAAGCTAATAACAAAACATGGAAGTCTCTCGTTGAGCAACAATAATGCCTCTTTCCTGGATCGCAGGAAAGCTCGTGGTCCCCGACGTCATCCAGCTCCGCCCACAGTTCGTCGGCGGATGGCGGCGGCGTGAGCAGCACATGGGCGGACGGCGGCCCCGACATCCACACCATCCACACGTTTGTCCACAAAGCCCGCGCCAACAAGAGCAAAAGCGTCCACCCCGATAGCACTTTGCTGGACAAGATGCGCCTGAAGGACTCGCTGTACGAGAGCCAGGTGCCCAGCGCCAAGGCCGAGCGCAAAAAGGACAAAAAGCTCAAGAGGCTGTCGCTGGCGGCGGCTGAAAGCGGCAGTAGCGAGGGCGAGAAACGGGCGCGCATCAAGCGCAGCAAAAACTCCAAGCAGCCCAAAGCCAAGAAGCTCAAAAGCTCGCCGCCGCCGACGCACAGCGACTCGGAGGAGTGGCGGCCGCTCCGCGGGGGCCCCTCGCCGCACGCCGCCCACGACAAAACGCCGCCCCACGAGTCCGTCAGGGACGCCGAGATGAGCTCCAGCGAGGGCGAGACCTGGATCGCCGACGAAGACATCATGGTGGAGTCAGGTGGGCCACCATCTTGTCGGAAGGAAACGCCCTAAGTGGGTGTAGCTTCCTTTCTGCACCCCCTGTCTCTCTATCTCTATCTCTCCATTCCCCTGCACTCCCAATTATCTCCTTCTGTCTCTCCCCCACTCCCTCTTTCTCGCTCTCTCTCTCTCCCCCCCCCCTCCCTTCTCCCAATTTTTGGAGTTTTCTGTCTGTCTGTGTCACCATCTGTCTGCGTAGGCTCATAAAAATCAGCAGGATTGATGTCACAGTTTGAATTGTAGTCAGCCGCGTGTACTAAGTTGGCCTTGCGTGTGTGTGCGTTTCAGGCGACGATTCATGGGACCTGATCACGTGCTACTGCGGCAAACCCTTCGCCGGGCGGCCGATGATCGAGTGCAACCAATGCGCCATCTGGGTGCACTTGTCCTGTGTCAAAATCAAGAAGTCCAACGTGCCCGACATCTTCTACTGCCACAAGTGCATGCACTCCAGGCGCTCGGGACACAAAAAAGACACTTAAACAAAGTAACAGCAAAAGAAAGTTCTCGCTTTATTGCCCTCCTGCCCCTGCCTAAAGCCAAAACAGACGAACATTTAGCCACAGATTTAACCAGTCAGAAGATTTCTGTTGACAATCAGGGTTTTTTTTTTGTTTGTTTTTGTCCAATGCACAGTCCAAGTTTAATATTTTTTTCCCACCTTTTTGTGGCCTCCTATAAAATATCATTGAATTATAATTTTCCACCAGAAAATGTCTATCCATTTATTTTTTTGGGGGGGGGGGGGGGAGGGTAGTTGTCAGTGGTAAGGACATGCCATTTGTAAATGAAAGGAACACGACAGCAAAATCTGGCGAATTATAAGAAAAGTAACATTTGAGTTTTAGCAATTGATCAAGTCCCCTATTTGGAATGCCGCCACTTTTTAAGTGATATGGATTGCTACAATTGACTTTTCAGGGTTTAAAGGAAGATTTGTGGCAAAATATTTTTGGGTGACAGCACGCAAGACATTGTAAGCAATTGCACTTTTTGGAATGGAGGTCGGGTGAAATATGTTCACGACGTGCGCTTAGCAATGCCAATTATTGCCCTCCCCCCTTTGCAAACAAGAGCGCATCTGTTTGTTTTTTTTCCTCCCTGTTGGAGAACGTGTTGGATGTTTTTGGCGGGTTTTTTTTTGGCTTCTCAAGGTGGAGGGGGCGGCAGGGCTGTACATATCCTCTTTGACAACTGTACATATGTGAAAGACAATGCAAAAATCTATTTTCTGCAGTCCAATATTGTTTTCTTTAATTGTAGTTTAAGAAAATAAAAGTCTTTGGGAACATGACACTGAAGCGTAGTGCACAAAGTATTTATTTAAAAAAAAAAAAGAGGGAAAAACTTTTTAAATGCTTGCATTGCTCTCAATTATCCACCAGAGGGAGACAATCAGCAGTCACTTCGAGTAAAACTACTCATTATTCTTCTGAAATATGTCCAGTGGTGTTTAGTCATTCCTCGTCTGGTTAATCCTACAACAAAAAAAGGCCAACGTTATTCAAAAGCAATCAAGTGCTTGTTAATTGTGAGTTGGTTTTGCAAATAGCACCTTTGCTTTCCGGAAAGTCAACATCAGCGAGCTGCCAATGGAATCGACACGAGCCACCTTCGCCTTCCTCCTGGAAAATGAAAGCAACTCTTTAGCCTCCTCACAATCACGTTTTATGCTCTCAAGTTATTTATTCTCATAAATTGACTTTCCTGCAAAAAATGAAAACTATCATACGGTAACATTGTTTTTTGTTGCTTGCATTTCCTTTAAGACTCATTGACTCGCATTTGTCAGATATTATTTTATAGAGCTCCTTTTTGCTTGCCTCCTTTGGTTGCTGGTGTGTTGGTTGTGGCGAGTGTGAAGGACCGCCGTCGGCCTCGGGATGTGCTCGCTATCGACTGCAGAGACATCCCAGCCTGCCGTCAGATCCTGATCCTGCTCCTGTTCCACTCTGCTGACTTCCTGATGTGATGAGAGACACGTCACCAGAGAATAATGAGAAATTGGAAGCCCATTGCAGCATATCATAGCAGCCCTCAAATCCTGATGATGGGTTACCTTTATGATCCTGGGTCTTGCAGCCGCGACCTCCAGGAACAGGTACAAAGCCAACAAGGAGAGCGCCCACCTTGAACAATGCATCTAAAACGCAGACACGAGAAAACCGCACACACACAAAAGCTCAAGTTTTTTGATAGTTTACCAGGAGCAATCAAATCCAAACTACAAGTGAAAGTCCTAAATAAAGTGAGTACATTTTTTCTTCAACTTTGGTTTAATTTAATGACTTTCCTTCTAAAATTGTGGCTTTTCCTTGTAAAATTTGACTTTTTTTTTAATTCATGACTTTTCTTTTAGACTTCCCCAAAAGTAAAATTATGACATATTTCTTTTATAAAATAATCACTTGTAAAAAAAAAAAAATCCCTTCTTAAAATACGGATTTTTTTCTTTACACAAGTTTTTCCATTTTTCTTGCAAATTTGACATTTGATCTAATGATTATGTATTTTCTTGTAAAGTTTATTACATTTTCCTTGTAAAACGTATTCCTTTTTTCATTTGAAAATGTATGAATTTTTCCTGAAGAAAAAAAAAATCAACCTTTTTTTTCCCAGTGTCAAATTTTAAAAGTTTTTCTTGTAAAATTTGAAACTTTTAGGTCACGACTTTCTTTGTAAAATGCATGAATTTGCTTGTAAAATTATAAATTCGTTCTTGGAATTTTTTTTCTCCGTGTTGCAGACTCGTCCCTCATAAAATTCTGACTTAATTTTCATCAATTTAGCATTTGTAAGGCTTGAAATCGAAAAATGGGATTTTGAGGTTGTCCTTTGAAGCGCTTACCTCTTTTCAGCGTTTCAGCTTGTATGCAGAACGAAGGCGTTGTGGTGTGTGGAGGCACGGAAGACGATGCGGGTGTGGGTAAATGCGGCGTGCAGGCTTTTTGTAGCCGCGCGTCCAGGGCGGGTTTAAATGGCGCGGGGCTGTTTAGGCTAAACGCGAGACAATTACGCTCCATCTCCATCTTCACATTATCAACAACAGGAAAAATGTTCCCGACACGCCTTGGCACACGTTCACATGCCAAGATAAGAGTGTATCATAGCAATCTCCTCACGTCTCCAGAAAGGACTTTTGCCACAAATTATTCTGGTCATGTCATTTATTTTCCTTTTTAGTTTTGAACAGTTTGACTTTTCTTTTCTTCATGCAGTTTTGCCAGGTGTCAATCATTCTGGTAAGCAGGCGGGTAACTCACATCAGCTCACCTCAGTGATACGAATGGAAATACCATTCATCCATTCCTGAATGGTCCCTGAAAATAAACAACAAAAATTGTACTGTTTTTTTCTTAATATGAAAAAAGGCACTCTTTGTAATTGTGTTATATAAAAACATACAATACTAACATAATTAAATACAATGTGAGGAATAACGTGGCGAGTGAACCAGAATTTAATGTCGGTATTCATTGTGCTGCTCCTTCTGATGTTTGCGTCTTAGCCACCAGGTGGCAGTATAACAAAGACATACACGAAGAAGGGTTATACAAGTGACATTTTCTGTACCGGTAATGTATTTATGACTGTTAAAGTACACATTTATCTTCGAAAAGCGTAACTTAAATCTTGTAAATTATGACTTGTTTCTTACAAACGATATTTTCTCACCCATATGAATAATGACGTTCACCCCACCCCCTGAAATGATCACGGTTTTCTCGTGAGAATTCTGACTTTGTTTTGTGAGGTATTGCCAGCAAGCTTTTGTGCCGAATTGATACTTCCCATAGATAAGTGCGTTGAGCAGGTCTGCTCTTTTCCTGCGCGTTGCACTTTACAGCGTTAAGCGAGGCAGCTCCAGTATTTTGTCTGACCCGTTGACCGATTAGCGTCCTTATCAAGGACTCATCAAAGGTCTCGTGCGGATGGGGACCACCCAGTGTGAACGGACACGACACTAGATACAGTCCAAACCCACATCAGGCAATTTGGCCACTATTATACTCATGAAGACAATGATTTATTCCATGAGCTATTTTTGTTATTAATTAAATAAAAGAACAACGAAAGCGAATGTACAGTATCGTCAATTTTATGGGAGGCATGCGTATGTGGAGTAATGTCGCCCTCTTGTGGACGAAGCGGCACAACAGCAGAAAGTCTGACGTCAGTTTCCACAAGCGCTCATTTCGCAGCAAAGTCAAATCGACGCAAATGGTAAACGTCATCATGCATTGATCCCAAAGCCTTTCAACGGAGCTTCAATGTTGACCATTTAGGATAGGGCGTTTCCGTTCACTTAATCAAGGCCGCGTGATAATCCTCCCCCGCACCCCCTCCCGGCCGAATGTAAAAAAAAAAAAAAAAGGGGCGTGGAGGAGTCGCGAAGACTGTTGCGAGGAATCTACCAAAACATTTTCGACCCAAACGATTCCAGTGTGGTTTTTCTGTAGCTTGGAGGACTACAAACTATCGCTTATTCAACAGGTGAGTTTACTTCGGTGTAGGTTTAAACAACAACTACAAAACATACAAACAACGCTTGTTTTAGTCCCGGGGTCTAGATCTCCGACGAATTGGAAAGGACGGACAAAAAAAGCATTCTTGTTGCCTTTCCGTACGCTCAAACGTCACCGTTAAACCTCATATTAATCACCAACGGAGATTTTTCCACCAATAAATCGCACTAAGCCACCCGGCCTCAACTCAAGGCTTCCTCAGTACGACATCCAGCGCGAGCGATGGAAACAAAGTTGGCTTATAATATGAAAAAAAATGTTTATTGGGCTTTAGGTTTTGTGTATATGTATGTACGTATGTATGTATTTGAACAAAACTATAACTGTTTGGTTTTGATTTGACGTTCTTGTTGTGTTGAAACTCTCCTCCTTCCTTTCCATTCGTTTTTCCAGGAAGTAACCGGAGGTCACAACCACCATCAGCATCACCGTCATCATGTCCGGTCAGTGCTCCCAGTCGTTTTTAAAAAAACAATATTTCGTTTCACGCAGTTTAACAAGATTCGCCCGGTCCTGTCACACCAGTTTTTGTGTCCCAACGTTAGTGGTCATTCTTGTAAAATTCCATCAGTGCAGCAAACTTCCTGTGGCTATTTTTTGTCAGGTTACACTCACCAGGCCCCCTACCCAGTGACGCAACACGGGGGCCAATCGGTGGCCCCCTATCCCGCATTTCAGGGTGGCTATGGGGAACCCGTTCAAGCCCCTGCTCCAGGCTTCAACATGAACTACAACCAAGGTCCACCTCCTGTCATGTTTCAACCGGGACCAATGGGGGCAGCCCCCCCTTACGGCGGGTCACCTGGGGCTGTTACCCCTGCACCGGCCCCGGCTGCCATAGTCCCCGTTGGGGTACCGCCAGGGCTTGAATACCTCACTCAGGTAACTCAGTTTTTCAGAATTTTGCATTGGTGGCTTACTCTATCAGTATTTTTACTTATTTGATCAAAAACAAATAAATAAATGAAGGTGTGTGTGTGTGTGTGTGTGTGTGTGTATGTATACAGTATATATATATATATATATATATATATGTGTATGTACACACACACACACACACACACACACGTGTATATACAGTATATGTGTGTGTACACACACACACACACATATTTCAAAAGTGTAGCTTACCTATCAATGTACTTCTGCTCTCTGACCTTTGAACAACGGATTGTGCAAGATTGTGAACCATTTTATAGGCAGAAAGCAAGCAATTTGTTTCCTTGCGTGTTCCCTTATTAGATCGACCAGATTCTGATCCATCAGAAAGTGGAACTCCTGGAAGGTAGTTTGCTCCGGCGCCGCCCCTGCTAAAGAGGCCACGCGTTAACCGATTGCCGTTTGCCAGCGTTCATCGGCTTTGAGACCAACAACCAGTACGAGATCAAGAACAGCCTGGGCCAGAAGATCTACAAAGCCAAGGAGAAGAACGACTGCTGCACGCGCAACTGCTGCGGCTCGCTGCGCAGCTTTGACATGAAGATCAAAGACAACACCGACCGCGAGGTCATCCGCCTCATCAGGCCTTTCCGCTGTGTTTCCTGCTGGTGTCCGTGCTGCTTGCAAGAGGTCAGCTTCCCTTTCCAGTGATCCCTCACTTGTCGCGGTTAATGGGGACCGGGACCACCCGCGAAGGACGAAAATCCGCGAAGTAGGGTTTGCCATAACCAGGAATTTTTGTGTCAGGGTTTGTGGGTACCAACATGTTTAAAATATGTAAACAGTATTTATGCTTTACATATTTGAGACAAAGCCTGTACCAGTACACACTTTTACTTAAATCTTTCATTATAACACCTTATACAGTAATTAGCATTCATTAGCATTCCCTTTATGCAGCTCTGACAGTGTCGCCTCCAGTGAGAGCAGCCGATGTGTTTATTTATGATTAGACAATTAAGGATGCAAAGAGACACTCTCTCTCGTGCATCTCCCCCATCCACACACACACACTACCACGCAGTAGTAAACACAACACTGATCTAGGCAACCATGTGATTCGACACTAAACAAAGAGTAACCCACGTGATAAGACACAAGGGGGGTTGCTGGGCGGGCTGCGAAGATGCACAGCCAATCAACATGGCTGTGCATCATCGGATAGATCCACTCATGCTGTGATTGGTCGACGTCACGCTGGGAACCAATCAAACTCCAGACAGCCATGTATCAAACTTCGGAGTCATTAGGTATTTTTTTTCTGAATACAGTGCTTTGGGGGAAAAAAAAAAGCGATGCACCGAGGCCATGATAATCGAACCGCGAAATAGCGAGGGATCACTGTATGCGTTTCGCCCCGATATGATTTCAGCCTCTGTGTTGCCGCGTCAGTCATAATGCGCCCGCCCAGCGCTGTCGCTGGCGATTGTGAAGTTGAAACCGTACCATTTGAAATTTTGTTCACTCAATTCAACTCAAACCCAGTCCCGATTCTGTGCCATTTGCTCAAACCCGCTGTGTTTTTAGATACCGAAAAGCTGCGTGACTGGTTTGACTGGACAGGAGATCGTTTGTGCTATCCTATGACTGTGGGTCTGTTGTTTTGCGTTCCTAACTGGAGTCATGCCACCTCCGCAATGTTTACTCACGCGCTGTCCCAACCCAAGCCATTCAGCCGCCTCGCGTACACGACAATCGGCAACAAGTCACTGGCGGTGACTCACCTGCCGATTGATCCTTGCATATACAGTCCCTTCCAAAAGTACCGGTATTGGAATGGTAAGGTCAAGTCCCCTTTTTCTGGTCCCACGTAGCCTTTCATGTGTGATGACTTGACTGAACCCGCGACATGATGCGATTGTCAAGGACTAGGAAAGTTATTGTCAAACCGCCAAGCGAGAAAGTGAAATGTGAATCATGTGGTTGTTGTGAATGACCCACAGATGGAAGTGCAGGCGCCGCCGGGCACCACTGTGGGCTTCGTCAAGCAGGACTGGCACCCGTTCCTCCCGCGTTTCTCCATCCAGGGGCCCAACAAAGAGACTCTGATGAAGTTGGAGGGCCCCTGCTTCGCCTGCAACTGCTGTGGGGATGTCAACTTTGAGGTCACACGAACAACAAATCCTTTTTCAGCTTTTTTAAAAAAAATTAATTAATTAATTAATTAATTTTAGACTTTATTCTCATCCAAATTTGTTTTCTGGGGGAGAGGGTTTACCCTTTTTTCTGGCATGTTAAAAAAAAGCATAGTAAGAATTTTTATTTTATTTGTTTATTTTTTGGGTCACCAGATCGGACCTATTTTTGTAAAAAAAAATATATATATATTTTACTCCACTACAGGTGACTTATTTATTTTTTCATAAACTGTATTCTCGTCTGATTATGTTTTTTGTTTTTGTTTTTTTGTTTTTTTTGGGAGGCGGGGAAGCACACTTTTCCAACTTTTTCTGTAGGGGAGAGTGACTTAAAAAAATAATCCAAATCATCCTTGTACAATTAAACTTTATTTAATGCCCCCTTTTAAAACAAAAATCTCTTGTAAAATTGTGACTTTTGTGTTTTGGGTGTGTAGCTGACGGGAAAAGATGGTGGTCAGCCAATCGGGCGCATCAGCAAGCAATGGAGCGGCCTCTTGAAGGAAGTCTTCACCGACACGGACAACTTTGGCATCCAGTTCCCTCTGGATCTGGATGTGAAAATGAAAGCCGTCCTCCTGGGCGCCTGCTTCCTCATTGTACGTTTTGCCTCCTTTTCCTTTTGCTTCGGTTCAAAACGCGTCACTCAGAACTTCCCCATTTATTTATTTATTTTGGGGACTTTCTTTCCTTTTGACAGGATTTCATGTTCTTCGAGAAAGTGGGCGAGGCCAACCAGCGCAGCTCCGTCTTCTCCTAAGACAGCAAATTTCTGTCCGACCGCCACTTTTACCACTCCAATAGCAAGATCCACTTTTGCGTATGTTGGGTCAAATATGACCACATGACTGAAGTGGTCAACATGTGTTGCACAAGCAGGGTTTTCCGAAAACACAATATGGACTATACGTCAGTAAATACCGATTACCAGAGCAAAAAAAAAAAAAAAAAAGCACATCAAAACCTACTTTCTTAAAAGGGCATTTAAAAAAAAAATCTGCTCTTGATTTAGGAAAGCCCTGCTCTACGCGACAGAGGAATGTACGAAATTCCGTTCCATTGCATTGCAGAGTGGCGTTCACGCAAGACTGTATGGAGCGGAACCGTCCAAATGTGTGCAAATTGAAAATGGTGCGCTTGACATGCATTTGTTCCCACGGAAGCGGTGCCAGTCATCCAGCAAAACTCAACCCCGCAGTTCTCTTTTGAAAAACGTGCCAGTCTCCGCCGCAAGTGCCTGATTGTTGAACCACTCCGAGACCAGTCCCCAAAGGTTGGCACTATCTCCGATCCGACATACGTAGTCCCTTTTCTTCCTACTTGTTTGACACCTTTGACATTTTTATTCATTGTGAAGATTGAAAAGGTATTTGAAACACTGTCTACTATAAGACCATTATCATTTATATATGTACATTAAAGCTTATGCACCGACAATGTCGCATGCTTTTTTTTTCTTTTATGTATATATATATTTCTTTCTTTACAGTGCCGTGAAAAGGATTTGCCTTTCATATTAATTTATTACACAAAGGTTTCGGTTCATCAAACCAATTTTGATATCACACAGAGACACCCCAAGGAAATAGACAATGCAATTTCTAAATGTCAATTTAATTTATCAAGGCACAAAAAAAAATCCAAACCTACCTGTCTCAATGTGAAAAAATAATTGCCACCTGAACCTATTAATGGGTTCTGCCACCCTTGGCAGCAATAACTGAAATCGAGCGTTTGCGGCAATTAGCGGTGACTCTTTTTGTTGAGGAATTTTGGCCCACTCTTCTTGGCAGAATTGCTTCAGCGCTACCATATTAAGAGGCTTTTTTTTTTAAGCATGAACTGCCTGTTTAAGGTACAAGAGGGAGGGGGGGGGCAATTACTCTTTCACATAGGGACAGGTAGTTTGGGATTTTTTGGGTGGGGCCTTTATAAATTAAATTGACATTTAGAAACTGCATTTTGTATTTCCAGTGTAATATTAAAATTGATTTGATGAACTGAAACCTTTGTATCGGATAAATATGCAAATAACACAGATATCAGGAAGGGGACAAATACTTTTTCACAGCACTGGATAAAGCAGCACGGTGCCCTCCTGAATTATTAGCACCTATGGTTAAGATGTGTTCTTTAGATTCTAATAAATTCCGTTTTTGTCTCAATATTGTAGGACCAACATTTAAAAAAAGAGGAAAATCCAACCTTTGAATCAAGTGCATTTATTCAGTGGGGAAAAACCAAAACCCACATCAAAATAATAATTCTTTGACATCAAATGATGTGTGCCACAATTATTAGCACCCCTGAGGTAAATACTTGGTACATGCCCCCTTTTGCCAACACAACGGCGCTTCATCTTGTTTGTTTCACAAGATGGGAGAATACAGAAAAAGGGATCTTGGACCATCCCTCTCCACTTGAGCCCCCCCTGCCACAGGTTTACAATGGGGTTGAGGTCTGGGGACTGAGATGGCCATGGAAACAACTTCGACCATTTTCAGTGTGTGGATGCTTCTGCTTTCATTTCAAGGCATTTAACACGTCTTAACCTGGGGTGCTGATTACAGGGGTGTGGGGGGGGGGGCAGTGTGTCGTCAGCGATATTGACATGAATGCCATAAATTTATCAGACGTTGTACTAAAGTTTGCACCCATACAAAATATCGTCTTGCAAGAAAAAAAGTCATCATCGTACGTACAAATTTGTAAACTCACAGGTAGCTTTTTTTTTTTTTTTGTGGAAAAAGGTCGCAAATCTCATGAGAATAATGTACAACAAATTTATTCAACAGAACAAATTACAAAGGGAAATAAGAACACGTGTCCCATCAACAGTAATACATGTGTGAATAGAATATTTAAAAAATGTATAAAATTTAAAAAAAAAAAAAAAAGTGTAAGAAACGGTGAGTGTCTTTTGAAAAGTGACAATGCATTTTTACACCCGTCTTTCGCCGCTAAGCTGCGCACGCTCCCTCTCGCCCGAAGCCGATCGGTCATCGCGCGACCAGCGGATGAGGTAGCGGCTGGCTAGCTGCAGGTTCCACTGGTACCTGGACAGGATCCGCAAGCAGTCCTCTCGCGAGCACAGACTCAGTGAGTAGAGCTGCTCCATCTGTGGACGGGGTGCAACATTCTGGTTAGGGTGACGGTGAACCACGGCAAAGAGCTCAAATTGAGACGGCAAAGACCTCGGCGTGGCTTTTAATTTGATCTGATTTTGACCTTTGGGAAAACAAACTAGAACAACGTGCGAGGGGAGAAACAAGTTGTGATCTTACCGGACATAAGGACAACAAAAGTTGCTATCGAGCAAATAACCAATAACATAAGTTATCTTTTGAGAAATTTTTTTCAATCAGAATTTGCCCACCCCCTAAGAAAAAAATGTTACTGGAGAAAAAAAAAGTCATTTGTGATCTTTTTTTCCATGGAAATAGTTGTAATGTTTGGATGAAAAAAGTAACGTTTCTGGGGGAAAAAAATTGTATCCTTCAGGGTTGCAAGCTGTCTTTTTTTTTTGGGGGGGGGGGTGTTCTGAGGATAGAGTGAAGAAAATTTGGATTTTTTTGCCTTGAGTTGCTGCTCAGCCCGCAGCGGGTTCCATTCATTCCGCTGGAGTGCGCCGTGAGCCTCCTCGATGGTCACCCCGTGCACAGCCTCCATCACCTGAACACAACACAACGGAAAGATTCCAGGACGCGCTTTGTCCTAATTCTACCAGATGACAAAATCGTGATCTTACAAGAAATAAGAAAAAAAAGTATTGAATGAGAAATCTGCATTTATTGGATTAAAATTTAAAAAAAAAAAAAGGTTGACCACCTGCGAGATGAGCGCGTCTCGGGCGTAGTGCACAGGAGAGGACTTCTCCCTTTCGCGAAGCCGCTCTTTTCCGTCCACGTGCTCGTCCAGCTGAGGTGTGGAACGTGCCAGCTGGGCCATTTTGACCAGGTTGGCGCCCCCCGCCGGTGGAGGTGGTGGCGGCGGCCAGACGGCGCCCGGGATCGGGTGCACGGTAGGCCTCCTCTGCGGCTTCCAATTGGCGCGCTTGAAGTTGGGCGGTGGTGGGCGGGGAGGCGGCAGGACACTGGCCTCGCTGAAACGCCGGACATCCTGCTGCATCACCACGCTGCGCGCCGCCATCGCCGGAGCCGCTGGCCTGCCCAGGGCGGCCGGCGGAGGCGCCCGGGACTGCCGACCGCTCAACACCGACTCCAGGCTTCGAGAAATACCTGCGGACGGGACCCAGCGGGACATGCTGAACACACACGCTGAGCCTGTCACTCAATGGTGAGTCAAGTTTGCCTTCCAAAAAAATGACATATTCAATTGCAACGATACGAAAACATTTATTTATTGCTAAGTTAATGATGTGGATGACACATAAAAGGGGGAAGGGCAACGACTGGATCGAGAGAGCAAGATTTGAGGAAATACAGCACCTGACATTTTGATCAGATTGGAGCCCTCCTTCTCTCTGGCTTGCCTCCAGCTGCTACTGCTTCTGCCCACCACAAGAGTAAGTAAGTAGGTCAATCAAAATTTCACCAAATAAAAATGATGCCCATTGCCGTCAAAGGCGACTGACTCCTCCAAGTTGTCGGGCGATCCCCAACTACGATCCACATGGACGTCTCCGTGTGCCGCGTGGTGCAGGCTGCCCTTCACCGGGGCCGAGATGAAATTGGAGGCGGGGTTGGGCGCTGGGTTGGCGGCAGCGACCGCAACGGGAGGGACCGACGGCGGAATGGGTGGCATGATGACGCAAGGAGGGAACCAGCCCACGTTGAGCGTCCTCTGGTTCTGGCCACGCCACTCGGTGTGTTCCAGGCTGCGCAACGGATCAGCTCAATCACTTTTTTTATTTTAATTTTTTCTTGCCATAACTGGTAACTCTCATGCTAGTGGACTTTTGACGGGTTACCCGTGCTCGACGACGGTCACGAGGTCGCCGGGCGCCAGCGCCAGTTTCCTGGCTTCGGAGAACTCCCGGCCGGCCTGGACCTCCATGGGCTTGGCCTCGGTCACCATGGCGATGAGCCGGGCGAAGTCGGGCCGCTCGGCCGGCTCACACGCCCAGCACTTCCTCATGACGGCGTACAGCTCCTGCGGCGAGTCGGGCGGCTTCTCCAGCCGCTCGCCCTCGCGCTCCACCCGCCACAGGATCTACAATTTGCACCACGGTCAGCGGGCCTTCCTGTAAAGTGCTCGCCCGGCCGCCCCGAGTGCCCACTTACCTGCCTTCCCGACAGGCCAAACCACGGCTCCTCGCAGTACGTGAACATCTCCCACAGGGTGACGCCGTACATCCACACGTCGGACGCATGCGAGAATGAGCCCACGCGGAGACTCTCTGGAGCACACCTGTGTGAATAGCGGGGCGACCGGGTTACCAAATTTCAGAAGGGTACCCAAGGTCAAAGGGGCAGAAGGCAAACATCGCGCTAGCTGAGTGGCGCTCACGTCCACGCGAGCTCTCACCATGCGAAGGGGATGCGCCGATGCGCCGACATGATGTAGTGGTCGGCATCGTGGCTCAGGCCCCTCATGAGGCCGAAATCGCCGATCTTCACCATATCCTTGGACGCCAGCAGGACGTTGCGGGCCGCCAGGTCCCTGTGTATGAAGCGGCGCGTCTCCAGGTAGTCCATGCCGGCCGCGATCTGGCAGGCGAAGAGCCACAAGCGCGCCAACGGGTACTCGTACTGACGCGAGCGTAACGTGTCGTACAGCGAGCCCAACGGGGCCAGTTCGGTCACCTGCAACGGGCGCGGCAGGCTCATGAGCAAACGGAGATGTTAAGGCGGCCGGGGCGGGGGGGTCTGCTCACCATTTTGAGGGGCTGCGTGAGCACCACGCCGTAAAGTCGGATGATATGCGGGTGGTCCAGCGACTGCATGCTGGTGACTTCTTGTAAAAAGTCCGTCAAGGTTTCTGCATGACGGGACATGCTGCTCCGCAGGGATTTCACTGCAACGGGCAACTGCAATACAACAGGCATAAAAAATAAAATAAAATAGTAAAATAATAAAAAAAAAAATATATATATATATATATATATATATACATATATATTAATATTTTGATTCAATTTGTTTTTATTTTTGTTTATCCAATTTTTTATGTATTTATTATTTTAATTATTACATTACATTATTATTGTATGTACTGTATTTAATTGTATTTTCAAACGTTTTTACTCTGTTCATTTTAAATGCTTATTTTCTTTTCACAAATGGTGTCATGCGTTATTATATTTATTTTTACAATGTGTTTTGTATTTTATCTTGGCTTCATTTCATAATGTTTTTTTGTTTGTTTTTGCTCATTTCTTTTACTTGAGTCGAATTACATTCATGCATTTGATTCTACTGCCGATGTATTGATTGAAATATTTCACATGCCATTTATTTTACTTTGGTTATCATCTCACTCTGTTAAGATTTTATTTTAGAAAATCATGTTTATTTTTTTCTTTCTTTCATAATGTATTCCTTTCTATTTTTCCTTCTGTCATTTTTTTTTTTATCAAAAAGCTCCCAAAACACCGAACCCTCAACAAATCTTTCCAAATGTGTGATTAACTGAATGTTTTGCTGGCGTCGTCTCCATGTTTTGTGTGTCTTACAACTCTTCCAGTGGGCGTGTGCCACTCCCCCTTCTTGACCACCCCGAAGGAGCCGGAGCCCAGCCTTTCCCCGAGAACCAGCTCACAGTCCTGGATGAGGCTGGGGAGCGCCCGGCTACCGCCATCCAGGTTATGCTCGCCGCCGCCGCTGCCGTCGGGTGCGCGGCCGCTCGGCCCCTGCGTGCGCAGAGACGTCACAGTGGATCGGGGGCGCTTATCCGCTTATGCGTTTTCTTCCATGTGGTCATACCTTGGGCACCCCCGAGCGCCAGTTTCGGGATGTCTTGTAGCGTTTTAGTGCATCCCATAATCTTCTTTGTGCTTTGGTTAAAAAAAAAACAATTCTGACGTCAAAAACACAATTGGTTTATTTACAGCAAAAATTGCTGCTATCCAGTGGAAAATGAAAACCCAGTATGTTCAGTTGATTCAAACATATTGGCCCACTATTGCAGAACGTAATATGCGACGCAATAGGCAACAAACAAGACGCCACATGATATAATGAATCATAAGCCCTTATTGGAGAATTTGTGTCACTATGGGATTAGGGGTGTGGCCTTCTCTTGAATCACTCGTTTTTTTGGAGAGCAGACCAAAATACGTACGTGCAAGTGGAGCTGACTCACAGCTCCAAACAGTGACTCGTGGCCTAACTCAGGGGTCAATGTTAAGCCCCTTTGTTATTTGTGCTTTATATGATTGATCTGTGTAAGATTTCAAAAACTCCACACTTTATATGATTCGAAGATGACACAAGTGTTCTGTTTTGAGGGCATGATTTGGGGAAAAAAATACTGCGTAGAAAAAGGTGCAAACATTTTGAATGGTTTGATTCAAGTGAATCAACCGTCAATTTAAACAAAACTCAACACATGATCTTTGTAAATCGCCCAGTCAATGACGACAGAACAGTAATAAAAAAAAAAAAGGGACTGAAATGGAACATGTGAAAGAGACAAACTAAGTTGGATAAATCACAAAAGTTATATAACGATGAAATAATGTACATCTCTCGCAGGATTGTTGAACGTTAAAGAGTTCTTAAACGAACAGACATTGTTTATTTTGTACTCCTCCTTGGCTGTCCCTTATTTGACCTTTGTTAGAGGTATGGGGAAATACACATCAAACTACTATTGAGCCATTATTTATGATTCAAAAACTCATTTCCACGCATGAGAACAATGAGAACTGTAAAAAACGTTGCTTAAAGAGAACCCATAAATCAGCTCTTGATTCATAAAATGACTTTAATGATCAAAGACTTGGTGGAATTTAAAATGGCACAATTTATGTACAAAATCTTTTTTTATTATTATTTTTTTTAAGTCTGAACGAAATGGAAACTGAAACAACTGTGTGGATCTTAAAACGGCACAATTTATGTACGAAATCATTTTTTTTTTTTTTTAACTCTGAACGAAATGGAAACTGAAACAACTGTGTGGATTTTCCAGGAGATTGTTCCCGTGTATTGTAACTTCACCCATGACAGTCGCACTTTTCCACCATCAAAAATTGGTGCTGTCCAATGAAAACCAACCTTGGTTTTTAATCGTAATGTTGATACTCTATCATATGATACGAAGGGTGGGACAAAATATCAATACCCCAGTTTAACCGTTCAGTCCTTGCAAAAAGTCTGCCATCCTGGAATGTGGATATCCCAGCATGGACATTTTGCTAAGCCGTATAGTCATTTTTTGCTTGGGCAGCGGCGATATTTGTTGGCATATGAATATGAGACTCACCGGGTTTGCTGATACCGATATGCTCCAGGTCGCCCTCCTTGACATAGGCGAAGTGCTCGATGCGCGTGATGTTGAGGCCGTCGCGGACGCGCAGGTAGAACTTCTCCAGCTGCACGTCGGCCAATAGTTGATACAACCATTGCGTGTCCTGCTCCATCGGCGGGCGGTGGGAGCTTGGACTCGAACCGGGCAGCCGGTGGACAATGGCGGAAGGATTCTGCAACAGTTTCACAGAGAATTGTAAAAGGCGATCCAGTAAACGGTATCCCCCCCTGCTGGTCATTGTTTTTCGATGTCTCTTGAATGGATTATGTTTGTTGCATTTCGTTGCAACCCGTGGTACAATGACAATAAAGCTAATTCTGATTCTGAAGCCGCTCAATTGGCCTTTAACAATCCCGAGACGTAAGCATGGAGGGGTAAAAAAAAAAAAAAAAAAAAGAGCTGGGACTGACAAACCTGGTGCCTGTGATGCTAACGTTTATGTGCACAGTGATGAATCTTTAACCGGCTTGGCTACTGAAAACACTCTCGATGCCTTGGGAGCACAGTCCATAATGTCAACACGTTGATCAATTAGCATCCAACCATTCATTAATTTTCCGACAGACTGCCTTTGTCCTGACTTTGGGCAAGGCGCACCCTGGACTGGTCGCCAGTCAATCGCAGGGCACATACGTAATGACAAACAAGCATAGGCACTCACATCTTTGGACATTTGATTATTATTACTTTTTAGAGGACTGAAATGGTTGAGCATAGATGGATGAGGTTGAAATTAAAGAAGTACAAATGTGTACAATAAAATATTTACATTTCTTTTTAATTATTTGTTTTCATTTAATCCTCATTACTTTACTAACATATTTGAATGGGCGAATTAGTGCACAAAGTATCACTGGACTTGTGACAATAAACCTGAAAATGGTCAAACCTTATTGGTTCTTGCAAACGTGCAACTTTAAGACGTTTGAACCTACAGTAAGGAAGACGTGCAAATCACGACGAATAACTTACCGTATTTTAAAACAAACGTAAAAACGAGGGCTTTTAGAAAAACATTACATATGTATAAATAAACCGCTCAAAAGTGTTCCCTTGATTTTTGAGCAGTAATTCTCAACTCAACTGTATTTATAGAGCACTTTAAAACAATTTATACGTATATAATACACACGTATTAACTATTATTGATCCTAAAACGTCGTTTATCGAAGCGCATAAAGGCCTGTGCATAGCAGTGTAATTGGGTGTTATTAAGTGCTAAAATTCGTTAAAAAATAAACCATGTGCAATCCATATTTCCAATGTGTTTTGGATTTTAGGCTGCTTTTAGGATGATACTTACTGTAAAGGATATTGCTCACAGCTCGTTGTCACCCCCCAACACACACCTTGACGCCAGACGACATGTTCCCCCTCCACCACACAAATCTTTGGAAAGTCCTCGAAAAGGCGTCACGATCCCACAAATTTGGTCTTTCTTTTCATAGAGAGAAAAAAAAAATCCTCGCTAAAACGTCACTTGGAGGTCGTTCGGTTCCACTTTGGAGCGAGTCAACAACAAGCGACAGAGACTCGAGAACGTACCTGTCTAGGAGTCTTTTTTTTTTTTCATTTCCGGGACCAAGCATGCCTTTTTCCGGTCATGACTCACCTGAATCGACACGCAAACGACGCAGACCACATAAATAATAATAATAATAATAATAATAATAATAATAATAATAATAATAATAATAATAATAATCAAAGTCAAGGCCTTGGCCTAAATCACTCATGCAAGCCAAATATTTTGATTTAAATAGCAAAGTACGATTAAGATATTAACTCAACTCAACTCAACTCAACTGTATTTTCAGAGCACTTTCAAACAGCCACCGCTGCATCCAAAGTGCTGTACATAGAGCAACTAACATACACAACAATAAAGCAATAAATCAGTCCAAAGATGGTCGAAAGCACCAAACAGTAAAACTAAGATCAAGTCTGAGTCATGCTGAGTCAAATGCCAAAGTGAGTTTTCAGGCGGGTTTTAAAGATGGGCAGCGAGGAGGGGCTTGCCGAATGTTCAGTGGGAGGTCATTCCAGAGAGAGGGACCAGCAACACAAAAGGCTCGATCCCCTCTGAGCCTCCGTTTTACAAGACCTGAATTTGTTCTCACCGCCCCCCCCCCAAAAAAAAAAACGATTTCATAAAAAACTATCAAAAGGTATGATGAGAGCCATGTACACTTTGGTGGGTAAATCAAACAAAAAAAGAAACAAACAAACAAAAAAATATTAACCTAAACATGATTCAAATAAAAATAATGAAATGCCAGTAGAAAAATAAACAATTTAACATTTTCCATATATATTGAGCCCTTTTTTTGGCCACCATTGTATTAGTCTTATTTCATGATGACAAATTAGTACTACTATTACTGCAGCACATCTCATTCAAGACAAACCAAACACTAGGTAATTAATTGCCAATATCATTATGTAATTTAAAATGCCAACAGCCCTATATATCGTATTTATTCTCGATAATATGGTATAATATGATCATGTTTTCCAGAACAGTGTTAAGTATTTATGGATACATGTTTTTACCTAAAACAAGCGTTATAGGAGCTACATGAATATCCCTCGGCTTTGGAAAGGTGTTCTCCTGGTGAAGTATGCGGTTCTCAAGAGTTCCTCCCAACTCATAGCGGCTACTGCCGAGCAGGTTCAACAGGATTTTTTTTTTTACAGTCTGACGTGTCTGTATGCACTCTGCAACAAGCCAGATTTTCCTGAACTTTGCACTTCCTGTCACAGTCGCTCCTCCTCACCTGACTGAATGGTGGTTTTCTTTTTACAGTGGAAAAGGGGGCAATAATAAACACTTACAATACGGGCGGGGCCCGATAGCCCCTGGGCAAAAAAATAATTTTAGTTTTTTAGAATGATGTAGGCCAACGGGTTTATTGCGCAACCCTGCTATTTTCAGGGCGAGATAAGCGGTTTCTGGGGATAACAGGAAGTTTGGTTTCACCTTGTCACTTCCAGCATGTAGGAATTGTTTTTGTTTTTTTTTAATTTCTCGCATTACAAGTGCGTGGCTGCCTTGGTAGGGAATTTAAGGTGTTGTGTTGTGTTGTCTGACAAATTACGGAAGAGGATTAGGGCCAATGAAGAAAAAAAAAACAAGGTTGGCAAAATAATCTCAGAATTCGAAATTCATGCAGAGGACGGCTGCATCATACGTGTCGTCGTAAGTTAAGACAGAGATGCCTTGAGATACGAGTGGCGATGATGTGAGATGCGAGAAGTCGTTCGGCCAAGAATTGTGGGCAAAAATTTTGAGAGATGAGCACTTTTACTCACGGAAGTTTACTATCCAACTAAAAAAATTGTAAATCAATACATAACAACCACGGTGTTGAAGTCCACATAGCTTAATGCGAACAAGCGATGCAAAACTCCATTGACAAGCTAATGAATAGCATCAGTCTCACGGTGCTTTATTTATATATTTGAACCCAGTAACAACAAATAGTGTACCCATACGGACACTCTAACAACACTCAAAAGCGTATATTCTTTATCACAGGCAAAGAATGACTTTCACAAAGGCCCAAAGGATTAATCAGCCGGACGATATTCGATATTTTATCATCTTTTTGTTTTATGCATTAACACATTACAACGTAAAACAAATATAATGACGTTCAAACACCAACCCAAAAAACCCACACACAAAAACAAACAAAAAAAGGCCAATTTTTAATGTTTTTTCTCAGTTGTAAAGTTAAACTAATACTTGAGGACAAAGTATTGAGTCATATTTTTATAGTTGCATGTGTTAAGGGACCAAAAAAGTTATTTTATTCATTGCATTTTTTTTTTCATGAATGGGCCGTTCGGAACCTTATTCTGCAAGTATCAAATTCGGTCAGGCCTCAATTATTACTGCGGCTCGATCAAAAGCTGTTCCTGTGTCCATGTACATCCTATATAGCTTGTTTTATACTGCCCCCAAGTGGCCAAGGTGACACCAGGAGGAGAAGCACAATGCTCATTGGAGTGAAGCAACTCATTTCAAGAGGGAAATTTGGCTTTCAGCTCATGCTCCCAATTGAACTCGTATTTCAAGGCACCACATTACCCCGACCTTTTGCTTTGACACCAATAACGTTTTCCATTTTTTTCTCCCCAGAGCTTCAGCTGACTTTGACTTCAGCTGACTTTGACTTCGTCACATCGAAGAGTCACTTGCACGCCGCCGTTTTGGATAAAATGGCAGCGCGGACTCACTTATTCCGTCGTATCGAGCGGGAGTTGTTGGAGTTGGCGCTACTGCGGGCTTCTGGATGGCATCTGGAACTTGCGTTGTTATGAATCGATCGTTCATGAAATATAGTAGTCGAAAGTTTAATGCATATGTTTTTTTTTCACCGGATTCGGGAATTTGCTTTTGAAAGAGGTCTGCAGGTGGTAGATAGGATTTCTCCCTCTGTCTCTCTCTTTGTCTCCCCCTCCCCCCCTGTGCTCTGCAACTTCAAGTAACTGCTCTACCTGGCGTTGAAATACCTGTCATTACAAGTCCAAATGAAATGAATGCAATCATTCATATCGAACCTTAATTGTGTACCAACCTTTCGGCGGGCCGGATCCGGCCCGCGCGGCATAGTTTGCCCACTTCTGTTTGGGAGTGTTCAATCAGCCTGCCATGCGTATTTTTGGAATGTGGGAGGAAACCGGAGTACCCAGAGAAAACCCACACAGGCCCGGGGGGAACATGCAAACTCCACACAGAAAGGCCAAAGATCGAACCCACAACCTCTACACTGTGAGGTCGACGCGCGAACCAATGGACCACCGGGCCGCCCCCTCCATGAACAACCCAGGCTAAATTTAGCAGTGTCTTGTGGCATTTTAAGGCACATTTTTTTTCATATGCGAACAGGTGAATTTCTAAATAGTGAAAATAGAATATACGAGGGATTACTCTGAGTAATTATTATTCAGTTGCTCAACACTGGTGACCAAACTGTTTTGTAATGTTCAGTAAACAATTTTTGCCTCCCCCCTCCCCACTCAAAGACAAAGTTGATGGCATACCTGATTCGAACTGGCGTGGTCAACTCCAATGAGGCCTTCTGCAGCATGGTCCGAACTCGTCTTTCGGACCACAGGCTGCTGTTCTCCGGCGAGGTGGACTGCCGGGACAAAGATCCGAACGCTCCGGCTCCTGGCTGCTATGTGGAGCTCAAGACATCAGGAGAGACATACACAAACAGCACAGCAAATTCCGCAGGTTTGTTAAGAATAATCGCAGAGGTGCCACGAAATCAGATTTTCCATATTTTGTGAGAAAGTGGTCAGATCGCAGAGACATCAAGTCATGCATTCAACTCTCACTGCAAATTCCAAGTCTTGGCTTTTTCACGTTTTTGATGGACATCAAGGATGTCATCTGACACAAGTGTACTTTGACCTCGATAGAATAAGACACAATTTTGAGATTTAGCGACCTCTTGTGGGTGGTCTCTGGGATTTTCTTTTCATCAGGTTCAAGCTGCTCAAGTGGTGGACACAGTCCTTCCTCCTCGGAGTACCTCGTGATCGGCTTCCGGAGTGACAACGGGCGTATCTTGTCTGTGCGGACTTATCGAACTGCCGAAATTCCACAGCTGGTTCAGGTATACTTCTTATTTTACAAGAGAAACAGACCCACAAAGTGGTTTGTGTCTTTTGTGCGGGGTGAGTACTTGGGTTGTCTTTTGTCAAGCGTGTGGTGATCGAAGACGATCCTCAGTGAGTTCCCAGTTCAAGTACTTTCTTTCACTTGTGCTGAAGGCCATTTGCATATCGCTGGCAAATAATAATTATATTGACTTTTTTTTTTTAGACTTTCAGAAAAGATCCTAAACACATCAATACAACACCAAACAAAAATTAATTAATTAATCATTTTATGTGGCCCGTGAAAAGAATTCACACTTTCATGATCCTTGCTAAAATTAGTACCGAAATGTCAAATTTTATGTATAACTAATAAATAACAAATCATGTCGAGATTATGTGATAATTTTGTTCCCCTGTTAACACTCAATCAAACAATAATTGAACAAAGCTGGTAATCCATCAATTAGTTGTGTACATCATAGGCGATTGCTCTAAGATTGCAAGGGAAGCTCAGCTTCCCCTAAAATGTCAAAAAATAAGTGATCAGATATACAGTATGTGTGTACATGTCATTGACTAAATATGCGCTACAACGCGCTCAACTTTTGTTCTGAATCAGCTTCTTAAGACTGGTTACGACGCGACTCTCTTCTCATTCATTCCCGCGGCTTCACTGTGCACGACTATAAATAGTATCATTTGCCTATAAAATTGTTATAAGTACACCTTTTCATAACACTGTATATTTATTAACGTATAAGAGAATAAAAAAGAAAGAAATATGGACCGACTTACAACAAAGAATTGCTTTAGTAACTGGAACAGAAAAGATTTAAAGTGCATCTGAAATTCAAAACTAAAATTGAATCCTTAATTAAATATAAATATTTTTTTAATGACCATGTCAGACCATACGATACTGAAAAATAAAATCACATAAAATCAATAACTAATCATGCATTCAAACTAATCTCCAACATTATCTCAGGAGCACAATATTAAAACAACTTCAACCAGCAAAACAAAAATACTGTACATAAAATAATATGTGCTGATTTTAAAAAAATCAAAGATGATGTCTGGATTAATGGCTACGAGTAGCAGTCACAAAGCGGGATGATTGTTGGCAATATTCGGTACGTTTTCGCTGAAAAATACTCGAGCGGCTTATCAGCGTGATCGGGGTGTCATGTCTTTAAGGGACGCCTTCATTTATTTGGCTTCTTGCTGTCCGCTGCCAACTGTAACAGAAAAGATTTAAAGTGCATCCGAAATTCAAAAATAAAATTCAATCCTTAATTAAATATAAATATTTTTTAATGACCACGTCAGACCATATGATACTGAAAAATAAAATCACATAAAATCAAAAACTAATCACCAACATTATCTCAGGAGCACAATATTAACACAACTTCAACCAGCAAAACAAAAATATATAAAATAATTTGCATACTTACATGCCTTCTTCGTGTGCTATCTCGGCCAGGATGACCGGTGTGAAATTAAAAAAATTGAATACAATTCTTCTGAGACAGTAGGTTTATTTCATAGCTTGGAAGAAGGACAACACACTATTTCCTCACCAGTTATTTATTTCATCGTACACACTGATACACAGATTGAAAGCGTAACAAAAACCCCACAGCCATTAAATAAAAGCGATGTCACCTAAATGGTAACTTCTGACAGACACACTTCCATAATTCATCATCAGTTCAGTTTGAAAATCCATCACACCATCCTATTCTCTCTCCAATACGTTTCTGTCAGGTGAGTAGTTTGACTTTACGTTTGCTTTATAATGCAGCGGTGAACTCATTTTCGAATGACGCGACAGTGAAACACATTTGTACTGTTAATAAAGGTTTTAAGATTGCGGCAGTGACATCCTGGAATTCATTCACTTAACATCATTTTCATATGGGGAAAATTGCTTTCACTTGTAAGCCAAAAAGCATAGCAAATTTTATGGCGGTTCAATTTTGCTATTTAGCATGCATCGTTTCAATAAATATGAAATGAAGGTGGTGTGACTCCCTTTATCTCATTTCCGTCACATACCAGTCAGGCAGGAAGCAATAAGTAGAGTTCCTGTGTTCAGTGAAGGTCACGCTACTGCCTGCTTTCCGGGAAAACAGATACACCACACTGGAAGACCAGAGATTAATTGTTTGAATGGAGAAAAAAAAATGATTTGCTATTTCTGAAGAAATTTTACATGCATGCTGAAGAGCTGACCCTGCATAGTGATATCATCGAATTAGGTATGTGGAATGTTAGAATAAAATGAATAGGGACTTTACATCTTGCCATCTAGTTAGGTACAATTTATAATGATAATTGCACACACACGCACTGACAAACACGAGTACGGATTTGTGAAAAAAATATTCGTGATCACATACCAAATTTTGACAGGAGTTTTTACGGTCCGGCGCCAGCGATATGCAAATGGTCTTCAGCATTCACACAAGTGAAAGAAAGTAGTACTTGAACTGGGAACTCACTGAGGGTCGTCTTCGATCACCACACGCTTGACAAAAGACAGGAAGTCGCTGCAGAAGTTCATGCAGACTTCTGGCTTCCAAGCCAAGGACCTGTACTCACCCTGCACAAAAGTCACAAAGCACTTTGTGGGTCTGCTTCTTTTGCAATGTATCGCTGCATCGGTAAAACAAGAAATATACCTGAACCAACTGTGGAATTTCGGTAGTTCGATAAGTCCGCACAGACAAGACACGCCCTACGTCATTCCTGAAGCCGACCACGATGCTAGGTACTCCGAGGAGGAAGGACTGTGCCCACCACTTGAGCAACTTGAACCTGATGAGAAGAAAATCCCAGAGACCACCCACAAGAGGTCGCAAAATCTCAAAATTGTGTCTTGTTCTATCGAGGTCAAAGTACACATGTGTCAGATGACATCCTTCATCCTTGATGTCAATCAAAAACGTGAAAAAGCCAAGACTTGGAATTTGCAGTGAGAGTTGAATGCATGACTTGATGTCTCTGCGATCTGACCATTTTTCTCACAAAATATGGAAAATCTGATTCAGTGGGAACTCTGCGATTATTCTTTACAAACCTGTGGAATTTGCTCCGCTTTTTGACTGTGTTTATCTCTCTTGATATCTTGAGCTCCACATAGCAAGCAGGAGGAGCCTCAGCGTTCTCTCTGTCCCGGCAGTCCACCTCGCCAGAGAACAGCAGCCTGTGGTCCGAAAGACAAGTTCGGACCACGCTGCAGAAGGCCTCATTGTAGGTGACCACGCCAGTCGAATCAGGTACGCCGTCAACTTCATTTTTGAGTGGGGAGGCAAAAATTGTTTACTGAACATTACAACAGTTTGGTCACCAGCGTTGAGCAACTGAATAATAATTACTCAGAGTAATCCCTCGTATACGTATTCTATTTTCACAATTTATAAATTCACCTGTTCGCATATGAAAAAAAAAAGTGCCGTAAAATGCCACAAGACACCGCCAATGTCCATTCTTAATAGGAATTGGCGTGTCAAGGAATTATGGCGAAGTAATATATCTTGAAGAGAGACAAGCTTTGTGTGTTCAGGAGGAGCTAAATTTAACCTGTGTTGTTCGTGGAGGTTTGCTGAGTTTTCATCGTATCCAGAAGTTTCGGATCACCCTATTTTTTTTACTGAAGATTATTGAACATCAATCCTCTTCAATCCTGTGTTTTACGCCGACTTAAAGCGATGGCTGTAGATTCATTTGAGAATGTGTGTACATCTTCGGCCAGGATTATAAATATACGGTATGTTGTGAAATAAATTAGGGATAAAATCCGGATTTGTTTTCTGTCAACAGGGGGATTAATGCATGGGTTGTACAATATTTTTGTGGTAGCGATTGCTCTTGCGCTCTTCCATTTAAATGTGTTTATCTTATGTGTGTTTAGAGAACCCTAAAAGAAAAAGTGCATAAATTTTATGAAAACATGCCTAGGGCAATTTTTCATTTAAGGTATTTAGAAAGGGTATTTCTATGCTGCGGATTTCACTTACAGCATTTTTTTTTTGAGTGATGTAATATAGAGCAAACAAAAAGATTCCAACACTCCCGACTACAAACCGTGCAAGTTCTACCTGCACGCGTGTACTGCTTAAACATGTACCCCCAGTACATATTCTCCTTGTGACTCTCGGTGCGGTTCTGTCGGTAACAGCAAGCACTTTCAGTTTCCACTTCGTTGATGTAAAATACTCCTTGGAACTTGGTGATGGCTAGCGACCACTCCAATTCATCATCGTAAGGTGTGCAGAAAACTTTGGTCAAACGGCCTCGCGATGTGACGAAGTCAAAGTCAGCTAAAGGTCTGGGGAGAAAAAAAAATGGAAAACGTTATTGGTGTCAAAGCAAAAAGTCGGGGTAATGTGGTGCCTTGAAATACGAGTTCAATTGGGAGCATGAGCTGAAAACCAAATTTCCCTCTTGAAATGAGTTGCTTCACTGCAAGGAGCATTGTGCTTCTCTTCCTGGTGTCACCTTGGCCACTTGGGGGCAGTATAAAACAAGCTATATCGAATGTACATGGAGACGGAAACAGCTTTTTATTGAGCCGCAGTAATAATTGAGGCCTAACCGAGTTTGCTACTTGCAGAATAAAGTTCCGAACGGCCCGTTAATGAAAAAAAAAATGTAATGAATAAAATAACTTTTTTGGTCCCTTAACACATGCAACTATAAAAATATGACTCAATACTTTGTCCTCAAGTATTAGTTTAACTTTACAACTGAGAAAAAAAACATTAAAAATTGGCCTTTTTTTGTTAGTTTTTTGCCCAAGTGTGTTTTTTTTTTTTTTTGAGGGGGTGGAGGAGGGTGTTTGAACGTCATTATCTTTGTCTTACATTGTAATGTGTTAATGCATAAAATAAAAAGATTATAAAATATAGAACATCGTCCGGCTGATTAATCGTTTGGGCCTTTGTGATGGTCATTCTTTACCTATGATAAAGAATATACGCTTTTGAGTGTTGTTAGATTTCCGTATGGGTACACTATTTGTTGTTACAGGGTCAAATATCCGTTGGTTAAAGCACTGTGAGACTGATGCTATTCATTCGCCTGTCAATGGCGTTTTGCATCGCTTGTTCGCATTAAGCTATGTGGACTTAAGCAACGTGGTTGTTATGAATTGATTTACAATTTTTTTTAGTTGGATAGTAAACTTCCGTGAGTAAAAGTGCTCATCTCTCAAAATTTTTGCCCACAATTCTAAAGCGGGAAAAAAAAAAATTCGCCAAACGACTGCTCGTATCACACATCATCGTCACTCGTATCTCAAGGCATCTCTGTCTTAACTTACGACGACACGGACGATGCAGCCGTCCTCTGCATGAGTTCCGACTTGTTGGCCAAGATCCATTGCAGGATGTGTTCCAGAGTTTTTATGAAGTTCTCATCTCCCTGTATGTCGCGGTCACTGTAGCCGTTCCTCAGGTCAAAATTTGGTGTCTTGTCGGGTTCCACAAAGTATCTCATCTGACTGTTGTCATGTTGGAATTGCCACTCCGCGTCGAGGGAGAAGGAACCCTCCTCCACTCGCTCTTCGAACGGAGGCGAGCATCTTTCATACGACTCCTTTTTGGCATTCAAAATCATAGCGTACAATGTGTCTGAAAGTGAGAGAACTCCAAATGAAAAAAAAAACGGAGGCTATAGAGGAAAGAATCGAAACACCGACCAGTTGAACTGGTGCATTTAAAAGTTTAGAGGTCAAATTAAAGTTCACTTGTCAAGGTTTTAGCGCATTTGCGGTTAATCTTTATTCAACAATAGAGGCATTGTGTGAGTTTAGCTAACATCCTGAAGGTACTTGAATTATGAACTAATAACTGTGCTTTAAATCAGCGGTCCCCAACCTTTTTTGCCCCACGGACCGGTTGAATGTCAGACAATATTTTCAGGGACCAGCCTTTAAGGCGGATAGATACAACAAAATAATATGATATGACCTGCATGAAAAGTGTGGTATTTTCAAAGGATAATAATAAACACGAATCATGACAGAAGGAACGTCCTATCTGGCCGCTACGCTCTCTGGTGTAACATTTAAACGTGCCTTCAAAATAAGATACACCGCAGATAAAAAGTGCATGAAAAATACGACTCACTATTGTTATGCATATTATGCAGAGTGGGCTTGGAGCGTGGAAATCTCCCGTTGAGATAAATCCATATTTTAAATCGAACTCCTGATACTGTCTATTAAATGTAGCCTTCTTTGTCTTGAAAGTTGTAGGCTCCTCTTCTGTCTCCTGGCTGGGCCTTTTCCCCTCTCCAAACAAACTTTTCAAAGACGTTTGTTTTTTTTACACATTTTGCTGGCTCCTGGGTTTCATTTTAATGGGAACCTATCACGGAACCGAGAAACGCGCCTTGACCTGCTCCAAGAGTCACATACTGTAGACCAGGGGTGCCCAACCAGTCGACCGCGGTCTACCAGTCGACCGAGGACTGATCCCACACCGTGAGGTGTGTAGGGAAAAAAAAAAATTGTCATGACAGGAAGTCAGTGTTGCCAACTTTGTGACTTTGACGTTATATTTAGTTCGGATTCAGACCCTCTCGGTCGACTCTTTTTTTTTTTTTTCAAAAAAGTGACTGACAATCTAGCGACTTTTCTGCCGTTATTTGAGACTTTTGGAGTCTGTGTGGCGAAAGCACGTTGTTGTCAATGAGCAGCGCCGGGTGCTGTTGTTGCCCCTCCGCAAAATGAAGCCGCTGCTGGCTGATCCCGCCAAGTTTACAATGTGGGCTGGATGTAAATGTAAACTTTTCTTTTTCTAAAATAAACTAAAAAAAACATCAACAAATAAAAATTACAAAAGAAAAAAATATAAGAAAAAAAAATCCCCTCAAGTAAATCGCAACTGCTTTAAATAATAACTGAGCATTTTCATCTTCACATCCTGGTTCAGTACCGATGGACCTACATTTACAACCACTGAGTATCCATTGCCAGATTTTCTGCGCTTTTCACCACAAACATTTGTCTATAAATCATATCAAATCATAAAGTGAGAACATCATGAAAACCAAATCACACCTATTTGTTGAAACCAATTCTTAAAAAGTATATTTGATTAATTTTATGCTCTATCAACAAAAATTCAAGCCCATTTAAAAAAAAAAAAAGTCTCACCTGATCCGGGAATCGAGTGTGAGAGTGGGATGATCCCAACCAACAGCGCTGTCAAGACTTGGTTTGCTTTTTGCTCCAGCGGAAGTTCCGGTTTTATTACTCATGAATTCAAGACACCACAGGAATTATGGACTGTTTGTTTGTTGCTTTACTGTTGTATGTTAGTTGCTCCATGGCTGTTTGTTTGTTGCTTTACTGTTGTATATGTTAGTTGCTCTATGGACAGCACTTTGTAAGCAGCGATGACTGTCTCTATAAATACAATTGAGTTAAATTGAGTTTCACTTTCAAGGAAACCCTGCCCATTTTTCCTTCAAAACACACACATACACATACAAGCACACACACACACACACACACACACACACACACAAACTGTTTTTGCCCT